TTTTTGTTTGCTATGGTTTTCCCCTCCCTGTGACAGTTGGACTTGGCAGCACTGAGGGACAATGCACTGATTAACCAGAACCATGCGCGTGGCCACAGGGGTCTGCAGTTGGACTTGCATCTGAACATTCTCTCCTTCACTGTCATCTCACTCAGGGACTTACTGCTTACCCTGCCAGCAGCTTTCTTGTTTCCAAGCTACAGTGCTGACCCAAGAGGGGGATCCAGGTCCTCATCCTTAGACTTCCTGATATAACCCAGCACGATTTATTCACTGGTAATAGACATTTACTGAGGCATGGAAAAGCGTGTGTGTTTCCTCACTCCAGAAAGGGAAATAGACAAAGTGGACCACAATCTTCCTTTTCATTATGATTCCATCAGTCATTCGTGTCCATGGAAATTTTTGGATGGCAAACTATTGTCATCACATGGGGCAAATGCTCCCAGGACACAGCTGGGACCACCATCCTCTCCATCACTTTGCTTAGATTTAAGCTGCACAATTCAACTCACCTTTTGTTGGGCACAGTAACTCAGACCTCAGTCCCATCACATCAAAAGACACTATTGGTTGAACTCTGTAATTAACACACAATTATTCTTAAGTGTTTAAATTTAACTGAAAAGTGATCTCTGTTAAATATAAGAGTGGGAATAAGAGAGGAAGAGGTATAATTTGGGACATGCTCAATATGACTCACCCCAAATGATAGAGTTAGAAATGTGCCTGGGGATTCCAATTCAATCTCATCAAGGTGGCATGTACCAATGCCATCTCACTAGTCCAAGTGATCAATTTCAGTTCACAGTTGATCATAATGATAGGTCTAAAAGTCAAAGGGATCACATAAACAAGACTAGCGTCTGCTAATACTAACTTACAGAATTCAAAAGGAGTGGACGATCCAACATGGGAAGCGGGATACACAGCAGACTCATAGAATGGCGGATGTCCTAAACAGTACTCTGGCCTCAGAATCGGCCCTTAAGGCATGCGGATCTGGCCGAAGAGCCCATGAGAGTATTTTAGGCATGGAAAGCTAAGACACTCTGGCAACAAACAAACAAACAAACAAACAAACAAAAAACACCAAACCAAACCAAACCTAAATGAAAGATCTCTGTGAGTGAGATCTCAGTTGAAAAAATGGGCCATCAAAGAAAGAGGTACCTTTCTCTGAAGGGAGGAGAGAACTTCCACTTTGACTATGACCTTGTCTAAATAAGATCAGAGTCGGTGAACTCAAAAGGCTTCCATAGCCTTGGCAACTCATGACAAGAGCCTAGGGAGATTACTGACGCCATAAACAAGAGTGTCAATTTGTTAAGTCAACAACAGGAGTCACTGTGCACTTACTCCTCATGTAGGATCTCTGTCCTTAATGTGTGGTTCAATGTAGATTAATGCTATAACTAGTACTCAAACAGTATTTTACACTTTATGTTCTGTGTGGGTGCAAACTGTTGAAATCTTTACTTAATATATACTAAATTGATCTTCTGTATATAAAGATAATTGAAAATGAAACTTGATGAGAATGGAATGGAGAGGGAGTGGGAGATGGGAGGGTTGTGGGTGGGAGATAAGTTATGGGGGGGGGAAGCCACTGTAATCCATAAGCTGTACTTTGGAAATTTATATTTATTAAATAAAGGTTAAAAAAAGAGAATTTAAAACCCAGGAAAGACTTTTAATACCAATAACAATAATTTCATAGTAATTTTCAGTTTATCCTAAACCAGTTCAAACAACATCAACTTTCATCTTCTGTCTTTGATCACGGTGCATGAATGAACAATTCTGATAACCACAGGGGGAGACATTTCTGGCCATCCAGGACTTGCCCCAGAGGTTTTGTCCCAGGAGCCTGCAGCCCCAGCAAGAGTCTCACTGAGGAGTCAGGGCAGTGAGAGCCCCTATGGGGCTCAGGGCAGCAATGGAGACTCAGCCCCTGGGGGAGCTCCATCCACTCCAGAGCCTGAGCTGAGCCCCTCCCCTGGGGGCCTCCCAGCCTCCTCCAAAGAAGGAGACTTGCTAAGGGGCACAGGGAGCCCCTCAGACCCCCCCCCTGTGGAGCAGATGCTCAGGGTCACATCTCCCCGAAGCATGAAGTATGGAAAGAGGGTTCCAGGGAAAGAAGCTTTGGGGAATGAGAAAATGTGGGAGCCATCTGTCATGTTGTAGAAGGAGACGTCCCCCTCATCATAGTCCAGGAAAATCCCCACCCTGCAGGGATCCTGCCTAAGGGATAGAGCCTTTCTAGGCTTAGTCCAGGCAAAGTAGCTATAATAATACCACCCCACAACCCAAAACCCTATATCTGGGGACTCTGTATAAGTGCCTGTCCTTTTCACATGTTCCCTACAGACTCCCACAGCCCACTCCCTGTCAAATCCACTCCTGATCTCCACCTCCCAGTAACATCTTCCTGACGTGATGCCCTCAAGTCCCAACATGCTGCAGGTGTGATACCAGCCTAGATCACTGTACATCCAGGTCACACTCTTCTTTTCCAGAGATATGAGAAGGTTGACATGGGCAGAGCCTGGATCCAGAGTGACAGTCCCTGCAGAGAGAGTTTGCAATAATCCAGGGCCACTTCTGGACCCTGAGGAAGGATGCATAACCATCCTCAGACCCACCCAACTGAATTAGGGATGGGCAAGACCCCAGAGATAAGGGCCCTGGGATACAAGCCTGTGGCCTCCAGGCAGGAGGAGAAACCAGGAGACCTCTCTGAGATCACATAGTCACAGAGACCTTGACGACCCGCCTGGGTTTGTTCCTGTCACCTCAGCCCCCACCCCACCACCACTGATGATGCCAGCATCTGCACCAGCACAGAGAACTGAAGCAGAGGCCAGAGCCATGGGGGCCACAGGGAGGAGCACCCAGAAAGAACACGAAGTCACTCACAGGCCTGGAACCGTTCCTTCCGCCAGTCTACAAGAGAACACACATTATGTATCAGGGGTCTGCACAGACTGCACAGGTCAGCCCAGCACCTGCTCTTCTGAGACAGTGATGGGGGAGATGTGTGGGAGACATCCAGCTGATGGACTGTGTCTCACACATACACACACACGGCAGTCTCCCCAAGCCATAAAGCTCAACACCAGAGACTGAGAGGCTGGCCACTGACCAAACAGAAAAGGCATCTCCCAGATTTCACTCTCAAATTATGCTTCTCAGGTTCCTAGACACACATCATCATGGAATCTAGGTTTTCTTAAGAATATATTGGAGTGGCCGGCTCTGTGGCACAGCAGGTTAAAGCCATGCTTGCAGCCCTGGCATCCCATATGGGCGCTGGTTTGATTCCCAGCTGCTCTGCATCCAATCCAGCTCTACTCTATGACCTGGAAAAGCAGTAGAAAATGGCCCAAGTCCTTGGGCCTCTGAGCTCACATGAGAGACTTAGAAGAAGCTCCTGGCTCCTAGCTTAAAGTCAGCTCAGCTCTACCTATTGCAGTCATTTGGGAAGTGAACCAGTGGATAGAAGATCTCTCTCTCTCTCTCTGGCTCTCTCTCTTTCTCTCTGTAACTCTGAAACCCTGACTTTCAAATAAAATAAAATAAATCTTTAAAAGAAGAATAAATTTGGAGATCAAAATTTCCAGTGCCTCCATGAACATCAGAAGCACTGACTGAGCCGAACTTGCATGCTTCCTGTAACCTAGGTGGAGAGAGGCGGTTACTACTGGATGAAATGAAGTTGGAGGATGATTCTAGAGATATCAGTGTGCTAATTCCTAGAACCTGTGACTCTGTCACCTAACAGGAAAGGGAGCTTTGCAGATAGGAGAAACGTTAAGGACCTTGAAGGTAGTAGAGTTCACTGGATGATCCAGGTGAGCCCAATCTAATTATGTGAACCTTGAAAGCACAGAACCTGCCAACCTGTGTGTGCCAGAGAAATTTATATGAGGAGCTGACCAGAGTCCAAAAGATGCCTACATCTGGCTTCAAGACAGAGGAATGGGCCATGAACTTAGGTGTGCAAGTGGGTTCCGATGCTGGAGATTCCAGTATTGGCAGAGGGGATGCAGACTTGCACGGGTTTTAGCCCAGTGAGACCTGTCTCCACCTTCTGACCCTCAGAGCTGTAAGACAGTCAGCGTTCGGTGGAAGCCACCAAGGCTGAGGTCTTCTTATGTCAACAGATACCTGCTGTGATCACGGGTGCTCAGGAGCTACGCCCAGCATGGAGGAGGGGAACTGGCAGGAGAAGGTGTCTGGAGAGAGCATGAGGGCTCCTGTCACCTGCAGAGGGAAAATCATTACCCAGAAATTCCCACACACTGTGGTGGGAAATGGAGGGACTCAGAGGGGCCCAGAGAACCAGTGGGCAAGGGAAGGTCTAGGGTAGGAGGAACAGACACACAGTGCATCAATTTCCCATTCAAAACCAAGTCACCCAGACCATGAACTCTACTGTCATGGAGCACAGCCGCCAATACTGCCCCAAGACAGGATAGGAACTGCCCCTGCCCTTCCTCAGCTGACAACACAGGTGCTCAAGGACCATCTGAGCCCCACCTCCCCAGCATGAGCAACTGGGAGGACTCAGAGGAGAGCACCTTAAGCCTCTCCCCAACCTCCCCAAGGCCTCTGCATCTCCTCCATCTGCTTGCTCATCCCTGGGGAGGAGAGAGGCAGGTGCTGACCAAAACAAAGTCTCCATCCACAGTCAGAGTCTGAGGAGTCCTCGGTGAGAGAGCTTTACCTGCCCAGTACAGGGAAAGCAGCACGGGAGCAGTGGACACAGGCACAGTATTAGAAGGTTGACAGTAATAAGTAAAATGCACTTCTCCTGTGGTAATAAATTTTTTCCACCATCCACACCTGCACAGGTGCATTCATAGAAATTGGCATTGCTACCTTGGTTGATTTGCTTGATAGGAAACAAAATCACACAAAATGGTGGGGCTGGTCCATGTGACCTCTGGAAGAGAGTGAACACTTCATTTCCTTGTTTTTCAATAAGACATTAGTTGTCAACTAAACTGCTTTAACGTTTCTTCTGTTATCTGTCCCATGTATTTACGGTTACTCAGAGCAATTTCCAGAAGGTGCTCAATTCTACAATTTTCTTATACACTCTCATCATGACATCTGTTTTATACTACTCCCTGAGACATCAGTCATCCTTGGCATCAGTGCTTCCCTCAACATCGTGTCTTATAAAAATCTCATATCAATCTCATTCACATCCTCTATATGGTACTTCTGTAGCCCCTTTAACAGCTTCACTGCTGCCAGATGGGCAAACCTCGTGACCACATCACTGGGTCCCCTGCTTTGTGGTGATGTCACTGTCTGCCCCTCTGTAATGAACCACTGCAGACTCTGTGTGACCTTGTGCAGCAGCTTTAAGCTCAGCAGTTGATCCACCATCATCACACTCACTCACATGGATTACTCCAACCTCTGCAGATTTCTCAGCATTTCCACATCACCCTTAAGGGCAGCCACACGACCTGGAAATGCTAAGGTTTCCTGACCTTCCACATCATTTCCTTCATACTCAGTCCCCTGGATAAACTGTAGATGTTCTGCTTAAAGAACCTCTGTGCCAGCTCTGCTACATTTTCTCCATTATCCTTGAAGGCTTTCAAAGCTTGTGCTCCTCTGCTCGTTCCACTGAGTAGGAATTTGAGACAGTGAAGGTGGCCTTCCAGGGCTGTTAATGAACTGGAAGATTTCCATTGTGGCCCCCAGAGTCTATGCTACATCCCCACTTAACAAGAAGCTGCAAGCAGCCAAGTCCCCCATGAAGAGTGGCCTCATTTACAGGTCTCTGTTCTCTCCTCAGTCACCCTGGGATCCTGGTCACCTTTGCTTAGGAGCTTGAGAACCTTCCCAAAATCTGAGCTGACACGAAGGACCCAATGCCTGTGAATTTCTTGGCACTACCAAACTTTGGAGAGGAGGATAGTAGGGAAGGAGAATTGTCTGATTTATTTAGAACAAGTAAATTACTTTGCCAGTCATATAAGAGATTTTAAGTGTTGGGACGAGATAGCCAGCCTACCAAATGCTATTCCATCTTTAAGAGTATATATTGTCAGTAATGAACAGGAGTCCCTCACCACTCCACTTTGGAGCATTATTTGTGAAGTGAAAGAGCATCCATGAGTTGCAGTGGGATGTGAAGGTCTGCATCCACGGTCATCTTGAGCTGCTGGGTTTGCTCCATTGATCATAAGAGCCTACACACAAGCATCCTGACCTCTGGCTGCAGCTATGTGGGCTGCCGTCCAACCTCTTACAGTTCCTTGTGTGATATCAGCTCCACACCAGAGTTAGCTCAGCTCTGGACTCTAACTTCCTTCCATTGTAGACTGAGGAGGGAGCACCGATGGCTGAAGGATTGAAGGAATGAACCAGGGGATGAAAGGACTTGCTCTCTCTCTCTCTCTCTCAAATTTTAATATGCTTTAATTTAGATTTTTCCTGAAATTTGTCCACAAGGTATCAGGAATCAATTCTGTCTCACACACCCAAGCCCTGTAAACCCTCCACACACTTCTACATTCCAACACCAGGGCTGGGCCTTCAGCCACTGCAGTCACTCTGAGCCACCTGCACAGCACTCACTCTCTCCCTCATCTCCTCTTCACTTCCCCACACGTTCTTTTCTCACATGGTATGCTTGCCATCCTTTTTCTAGGTAGCAATTTCTACTTTTCTATGTTTCTCCTTTTCCAGTCTTTATATATCACCTCTAAAGAATCAAACAGGGGCCTGAGCTGTTAACAAATACAGTGAATACAGCATTCTTCTGAGGTGTGAGAAAATGGTAATGAACAATCACATATTACATTTTTTGTTCTTGTAAACACACACACACACGTACACACACACCCCTACTCAGGGGCAAGGATTCGGTCTTCCAGCAAAGGCAGGCGCTAAGACATATGCAATTGATGTCAGAGTGCCTGGGTTCGAATCACAGCTCCAGCTCCTAATTCCATCTTCTGGCCAAAGCACATCCTTGGAAGCAGTAAGTGATGCATCAATTTGGGTTCCTGCCAATCACGTGGGAGAACAAGATTGGTTTCCAGCTCCTGACATTGGCTCCAGCACAGTTCAAAACTTCCCAGGCCATTGCAGATATTTGGGGAATGGAACAGCCAATGAGAGTTTCTCTCTCTCTCTCTCTCTCTCTCTCTCCCTCCCTCCCTCTTTCCCTTTTTTCCTCTCTCCTTCTCTCCCTCTCTCCCTTCCTCCCTCTCTCACTCTTACTAAAAAAAAATATTTTTTAAAAACATGGCAAGTATTTTGCTTAGTGATTAAAACACTCGCACCCACACTGAAGAATCTGGGTCAATCCCCAGCTCAGGCTACAGACTCCAGCCTCTGGCCAATGGAGACCCTAATGCAGCACTGAGGGGCTGAGTTGCTGACATGCATGTGGGAACCTGGACTGAGATCTCAGCTTCTGGCTTTGGCCTTGCCTAGCCATGGTTGTTGCTAGCAGCTAGGGAGCAAAATAGGAGACTGAATATCTCTTGCTCTTGCTCTCACTCTCTGCATGAGAAATACATTTTGTAAAAGAATTCTTTTTTTTTTTTATCTGAAAAGCAGAATTACAAATAAAGAGAGAGAGAAACACACACACACACACACACACACGGCAAGGGTGGGGGGATCTTCCATCCTCTGGTTCACCTCCATAATGGCCACAATGGCCAGAACTGGGCTGATTCAATGCCAGGAGCCAAGATCTTATCTGGTCTTGCACATGGGTGAAGAGGCCTAACTACTTTGGGCCCCTTTCCCAGGTACATCTGCCAGGAGCTGGATCAGAAATGGAGTAGTTGGGACTCGAACCTGTGTCCACAGGGGATTTTGGCACTGCAGATGGTGGCTTAACTTTATACACCACAGCAACATCCCAAGTCAAATAAATTTAAAGTTTTCTATTCTTCCTCAGAGTACACAAATGTTGCATGCGAATTTCAGATGTATCAGAGAACCCAACCCAGGAATTTCTCCATAAGCATGCCAGATGATCGTTCTCTAATTTAGAACATTTACTCAGAGTAACTAATTCTCAGCAACCACCAGTAGTTAGAGGAAGAAACCCAAGCTGGACAGCGGTCAGAGCACAAAGAAGCATAGAAGACCACATTCCAGGGCCAGGAGGACCAAAGTGGGCCTTAAAGGGAGGAATTTGGGGGTAAGAAGGACATAGATCTCATTCCCCTCTTAGTAAACTCTGGGTCCTGAGCAGCATAATTCCCAGAGTATTGAGGAGACCGGCGCTTCCTGAACTACACAGTTGTTGTCCTGCTGCAGGCTTCCCTCACACCTGAACTCTCTGTGGTCACCCCGCCAATGACAAGGGTCAGTTGAACAAAAGAAGGTGTCGTTAACCCTAACCATGATATGCAGAGGACAAAGGTCCCAGAATGGAAGCAGAGCTGTGGTCCCACGGAGGAGCCCCTGCAGTTTTCCTTGGAGGCTACAACACTGACAAGGAGAGCAGGACGCCCAGCCCATCCTGAGTTGAGTCCACAGGTAGAGAAGGGGCAGGGCAGAGGCAGAACAGGGAGGCAGAGGAGCCATCAGCATCACTTACCATCATACAGCTGCGCCTTCCTCCAGGCTGAAAGGAAACACACCCTGGTGAGACCACAGCCACACCACCTGCTCAGCCCTCCCTGCCCTCTGTGCTGAAGGTCAGACTCTGCAGGAGGAGAGAGGCTGCAGAGGAGGGGCCTCCTGCAGGTGCAGACAGCAGAGGATTGTGGGAAACTCCCTGACCACAGATCAGGAAGCCTGCAGGACAGCTGAGTTGCACCCTGCCCCACTGCTGGTGACTTTTGGCTGTCAGCTCTCTGCCCTGTGCTTCAAAAACCACAAAGACTCCTGTGTTCCTGGCTCCTAGCTGCTGTTGGTCAGGACCGAAAACTATCTGTGTGAAAATAGTGTGAGAAAAAAGGAATTTACTCCATGTTGATAGTAGTTAATTAATGTATAGCATTACCTGGCAGGGAAACTAAAGGAGGAAGAAGAAATAACATGGATATAAGGCCAACTCCAGAGTCTAAGGGGCCAAACATTCCCTGAAAAAATGTTTCTTAAAAAAAGATATATTTATTAATTTGAAAGGAAGAATTACAGTGAGGGAGAGGGAGAGAAAGAGAGAATCCTCCATCCATTGGTTTTCTCCCCAAATGGCCTCTACAGCCAGGGCTGGACCAGGGCAAAGCAAAAACCAGGAGCATATTCCTGGTTTTTCATGTGGGTGCAAGAGCCCAAGTACTTAGGCCATCTCCACTGCTTTCCTAGGAACATTAAAAGGTAGTTGGAAGAAGTGGAGCAGCCAGGACATAAATCGGCCCTCATCTGGGATGCCTGAATTGCAGACAGATGTTTAACAGCTATACCACAACAACTCTAGAATACAATACTCTAGAGAGAAGCATTCCTACTCTGAGAAGCACTCAGCTCATCCCATCACATCTCCACACCTGGTGAGCAGCCATGTCTTCTGACATTCATTTTACACAAGCACCTTTGAGGAGCAGGATAGGAATGATGCCACCTGGGTGGTGTCTTAGAAGGGAGAGAGGGGGCAGAAGTCACACCCCCAAACTCAATGACCTCATTTGATTCTCTCCCTCCTGTCTTGAACTCTCACAGTTTCTGGCATATGCCTTCTGGTACAGTCAAGAGCTAAAGCTTTGGAGGATAATCACTGACAATTCTCATATAGGGCAGAGGCCTGGACTGAAAAGAGACCCAGGATGCAGGGCAGACTCCATGCCCATCACTGCTCACACGTCTTGAAGCACATTCTGCAAACAGTCACCCAGATGTGAGAGAGCCCAGGGAGCAGGGTTCTGCCACCACCACTGCCACTGCTGCACCCAATGAGTGGCCCACATGTCTGTGCCTGGACAGAGACAAGGAGGGGACAGCTGGGCACAGGGGGACAGGAGACCACGGGACATCTGGAGAGTCACTCACCAGCCAGGTAAGCTGTCTTCCTCTGATCTGAAAAGCAGCACAGGGAACAGGTGAGCTGAGACCCCGAGTGTCCTCCACAAAGGGACACGGAGAGTTCAGGAGGGGAGCAGAGCTTACCCAGTTCTGCCTGGAGCTCATCTGTAAGAGACAAAAAACCTTGAACTTCCATCACCAAGAAAAGGAGAGACTGTGTGCCTGGAGAACCCACAAGAAAGACATCATCTGTATCCTAGAGAAGTTCTTACTCCAGACCCACCCACAGCTCCAGCCTCCAGCTGTCCTGTCTGGGTCTCCACAGCCACCTGCTCTGGAGAGCAGAACCCACAGACTCATCTCCCAGCATCCTTCCTCTCAGCACCAGCTGCCCCACCTGCCTGGCCCCTGGCCTCCTACCTCTGGCCTTCAGTGCCTCCTCCTCTGCCCGCTGGACCTCCTCCTTAGCCCGGCACAGCTTCTCCTGTTTCTGCCTCTCCTGCAGCTTTGCAGAGTGCTCTCTCCTGGTGAAGCAGCCAGCCCCAAAGAGCAGGAGCCCCAGCACCGTCAGGATCCCAGCAAAAGCTGCCTTCCAGGGAGAGGCCTGTGGGAAGAAGGGCTCTGGGGCCCAGGGGGAGACCCAGTCAGGGGAGCTCCCAGGCCCACCCCGCACACTCAGGGATGCCGACACCACCTCCCAAGCCCTGCCAGGAATGAGAAGCAGCACCGACCTGGGATGGACACGGCCATCGCCTTCTCCTGGCCCAGGATGGGATTGAGGACAGAGCAGCTCACACTCCCTGCAGAGCTGTCTCGCACCACCAGAGTCGCCTCCACGCTGAACAGCCCTGCTGCGTCCTGGGCATGGGCCTCAGAGAACTCCAGGAACTTCTTCCCGCTGAGGTCTGTCCACTGCACCTGGGGCTTCGGGAACCAGCCCGAGGCCTTGCACACCACGCGGACCCCGTCCTGCTCCGGCCCTTCGATGTGCACTTGAGGGGCAGAGCCCAGGCCTGCAAGAGGGGAGCTGTGGAGACCTTGGAGACCACTTGGCCCAGGGCCTCAGCAGGGTCTGGGTGTGGCACAGCCACAGGGGAGTCACTGTGTTCCATTCTGGAGATTCCATGGGAGGGCGTGGCCTGAAGGAGGGGAAAGAGCCCTAGGACCCATTGGGGGCACAGAGTAGGGGGCTTTCTCCTCAACACTGCAGATGGGAAGACTGAGGCCCAGAGAAACCAGGAGCAGCAACCTGACCCCAGGACTCCATCCTGAACCTCTAATCTCCTCACCCTACTCACTCCTGGGGCACCTGCTGTGATTCCCACTGCCTCTCTCTGTAAATCAATTCCAAATTTATACCAATGAATAATCCTGTCTCCCCAATCCCTTCTCTTATTCCCATACCCCTATGAGTTATCTCTGCCAGGTTTCCTTACAGACACTGAAACTCACAATTTCAGATCTGAGTTCACACCTGTGACTATGTGTGATAATTGAGTATTAAATCCCCATGTACTTTATCCTTCTTAAGGGGAGCTGACCTCTACCATGCTGTAGCTCCTTCACATTCTGGCTCTGAGGTTGGTCATGTGACTCACTCTGGCCAGTGAGAGACCATTTCATGTGACTTAAGGAGAGGTTTGAAAAGCACTTGTGTCACTGGCTCTGCCTCTGCCATTGCTATAGGAAGGACAGGCCTGGGGCAGCCACTGTAGGATGAGACTCCTGGACTCTGCTGGTCACCCAGCCTCTCTAGGAGATGCTGTCCTAGGGCAGCCACAGTCAAGAATGGGAATACACCCAGGCACAGCCCACGTGGTGACCTCCCCAACTGACTACAAGAACAATAAGTACTGAAGTAAGACCTCATTCTCCCTGGTGAAAATAAGAGAAATTCTCCTCTCCTCCATCTTCTCAGAGCGTTAACTTTAGAGCACTGGGAACTATGGATACTTCTCTTCATGTGAAATATTATCATTAGAAAAGCAGATAGGCCTCTGGCCAGCTTACTGACCCAGGAATGTCTTCCTCAGGGACCTGAGGAAAATACATTGAAATGAAAACATTTTTATATGTTTTATGAATTTTTTATATATTTTACAAAGAAATAGTATTACTTCCTGCTCCTTTGTGGAATCATCAGGGCCTCACTTCAGTAAGTAAAATTTCTTTCTATTATAAAAATAGGACAAGTAGAGCTGGCTGAGGCGTAGAACGTTAAGCCTCTGCCTGCAGTCCTGGCATCTCCCGTGGGCATACCTGTTGGAATCTTGGCTGTTCTACTTCTTCTTCTTCTTCTTTTTTTTTTTTTTTTGACAGGCAGAGTGGACAGTGAGAGAGAGAGACAGAGAGAAAGGTCTTCCTTTTGCCATTGGTTCACCCTCCAATGGCCGCCGCGGCTGGTGTGCTGCGGCCGGCGCACTGCGCTGATCCGATGGCAGGAGCCAGGTGCTTCTCCTGGTCTCCCAAGGGGTGCAGGGCCCAAGGACTTGGGCCATCCCCACTGCACTCCCTGGCCACGCAGAGAGCTGGCCTGGAAGAGGGGCAACCGGGACAGAATCCGGTGCCCCGACTGGGACTAGAACCCGGTGTGCCGGTGCCGCAAGGCGGAGAATTAGTCTAGTGAGCCGCGGCGCCGGCTGGCTGTTCTACTTCTGATCCAGCTCCCTGCTGATGGTCCTAGAGAAGCAGCAGAAAATGGCCCAAATACATGGGTCCCTGCACTCATTAGGAGACCCAGAAGAAGCTCCTGGATCCTGGCTTCAGCCTGGCTCAAGCCTATTGCAGCCATTTGGGGAGTGAACCAGCAGATATAAGAACAATTTCTTTCTTTCTTTCTTTCTTTCTTTCTTTCTTTCTTTCTTTCTTTCTTTCTTTCTTCTTTCTTTCTTTCTTTTTCTTTTTTTCTTTTCTTTCTTCTTTCTTCTTTCTCTC